TACATAAGTACAATTTTAAACGTATACAACACGTGAATTGGGATTAGTGAACGCATTCACACCATAACGATGATTATCCAAACTTTATGCATGTTCGTATGCAGCGTTAGCAAATTCTTGTCCTACAAATTAAAATAGAATTGTCAGACAATAATTGCATTCAGTATATGCTATAACATAATATTCTAATGCACAATTCAAATCTAAATTCGTATGTGGATTTGGAAAATGTATGGGGTTATTTCACATGAACCAGCGTGTTGATGGATGCACTCCAAACTCTGTAAAGTTAAATATGTAATAAATGATGTGATTTAGTAAACTATTATTTGTACTATAACGTTTTTTAATATTGCTGTTTGATAATGTATGTTAAGTAATACATTGAATTGTCACGTGAATACGTTGTTTTTGCAGCACGTATTCATTTAATGAAATTCTTCAATACAAGTGTGCGGTGATTGTACAATTAAGCAATAACCCCCGCCGAAGGCGGGGTATACCACGAGATATTGCACAATTCACGACATATATGCACGAGCCGCAGGCGAGTGCATATATCGAATGAATTGTGCAATATCAAGTGGTATACCCAACTTCGGCGGGGGTTATTGCTATTATATTATACCAGTATATTGACAATTCGATAAAACTAGTAAAAAAAGAGTTTACTTTCATCTACTAAAAGATCATGATTATGGCCCTTGAACATGAATATTTATAAGAATAGTATGTAGTTGTACGCTGAATGCATACAAAAATTACATGCGCAACACAGTTCAAATTGAATACAGACTAATTTTTATTCCACATGAAAAAGAAACATATCCACGTTGAATAGAGCAGCGTAAACACACAAATTAGCATAACAAAGGATGACCTTTCTGACCTTTTACTGACGCACAACGCGATTTGAAATACAGGTTTCGTGTACAGTTTGGATCATTTAAACAACGGATTTTCCACGTTTTCATTCCGGTTTTTGTACAGTTTGGACTGTAATTTGCCCATTGAAAGTACAGTTGTGAAATAAACCGGTTTTGTGACGCATCATACTACTTGTAACTGTGGATATTTGACGTTCAGCGGTACTTGGTTCGACCGAAATTTGAGACGCGGCGGGACGCGGTGTATCATGTACGGCGACCGGCACAGCGACCTCAGTTCCAACATCTGACCTGGATACCTTTTGTGACAGTATGACTGACAAGTTTTGTCTTGTTCTGGGGTAAGTTTGATGGTGTAAGATCGGATTTTCGCATCGTTTTTGTGACACGTACATGATATGCCTTGTCCCAACTCCGGCCGAAAGACTTTGCACGCCGTCGCTCTAATACAGTGGTTGTTGAACACTCGTCACAAATCTGCAGCTTTCGAAATTACCTTCATCATCTCCTGTAATTTATTTACCCATAGTCGAGAATTACAATACCATATATCGTCGTCGAATCCTGCGTTGTCCCGTGTTTTTTGAAACAGATGGCAATTACCCGGGTGCACTGCAATTTTGTCAGCTGCCACTACCGGACACCGGTTGTTATTGGTGGAATACATTTTTGCCTGTGACTTATAGTTTTTTGCATTTTTATGTCATTAAATCCCTCAATTATATCTTGTACTTAAAGATCATGTTTTCTTTGTTGGAAGTTCGCAATCCATCTCAAAGTAACAACACTGAGAACATAGCGTTCTGGCGTTCGTGTAGGCACCTCACAGTGTTGAGGGACGGTGGTTTAGGTTTGTGTGGCGAACGACAATCACCCAACGACCAACGCTCACAACTTGGATCCCACCATTAACAAAAAACAATATTATAGTTATATAACTTTTCAGATGTTTTTAATTCAGTATTTTGTTCAATATTCTTCCAAAATTCAACCACTATATTTCCCTAAAAATCAAATAATACCGGTTTATATATATATTAGGCAACATTGCGTCTTAAATACTCGATTAATTGTTACCTTTTCTTTTATTGTCATCACCACTTGCTTCACCACTGTTGCTGTCATCACCACGTGCTTCACCGCTGAAACATTTACAAGACTTCAATTTGACAAATCCTTCTTTGAAAGATTGACGTATTTCATCAAACCTATTTCTGCAAGACCTGAATGTATACGTTAAATTAATACCATATTAGTATACTGTATCATTTCAATGAAGAAATTTACTCTGATTAAAGTAACTACATTTATTGGCTTTTATAACACCAATTTGGATGGTAAGTTTTAGTTATTTATATATATCGCGTGAGTGATTAATGATAGCTTTCAAGATGTAAATAAAAAACAGATTTGAACATGTATGCCAATTTTATTCAAAATGGCCGAATAAAGGCCATTTGGGTTTAACGAATGGGATGTATGGGTTCTGATATGTCTTGACCGATTACATTCAAACTTCACACATATTCAAAATCATTTGTTTCATGATCTAATTCAAGATAGATAAAAATTTGCTTGAATATCAAACATTTCTGAACTGTGTCTTGGTCGTGCGCGGATGGATTTCATTCAAACGTTTTACGTTCATTGAACATGAAATCTTGATGCACGTCGTTTTGTTTTTCATATTCTGTTTTAACGTATTGATTATATAATGCTCATTGAAACAGTTAACCCAGTATTGCGTCTTACATGGTATGTTAATTGCCTTGAATTATTGCAAAAAAATTACCTACATAATCGAACAAATTATCATGAAACTAGTGTAAATAAAACAAATTACTGATACAAGACTGATACAAAGAAATCAGTCGATAATGCCCAGTAGCTGTAATTTTCCAAATAACTTTCGTCTATATTGTGATCACTAATATTTTAGAGACTATGCTATATGGAACAACTGAGGATTCTTTAAACCATAGTAAAAAAAACCTGCTAACACTTTTTACCAAATTAGTAAAAAGCCAACATTTTTCTTTACAAATGCGGCACTGGTCACCAGTTGCATAACATTACCCATGCATTACCATTTTTTGTCTTCAAATATTTCATTTGATGCATTGTCGAACTGTTTGTTAGATGCCCTCATAATACATGTGAAAATTCCAGAAACCTGAAGAAAAGTAAAGAAGAAAACCACAAATAATATGATTTTGAGGCTTCCAAATTCAGTATGTCAGTGTGTTTGTGATTATGCCATTACCAACTGTATTTTCCGTCTTTAGCATAGTTGCATTGTTTAATAATCACAATGAAGGTATGTTAGCTTAGCGCTGACAACGAAATTCAAAGTCACTTACTATGCTAATTGCTCCAATAGTTGCACCAATAAGTAACAAAATCTTAGTTGCACTACATTTTCCAGCTTCACCTTCGACCACTATTTCAAATAAGATACCATAAGCTTTAGTCAGGGTTCGATATGTAATGCCGTTATTTCGATATTTGTAGGAAAATCTATGATAGAGAAACACAACTAATAAATAAGCTTAACTTTACATTATTAACGTTTGGGCCATAGCAAGAAGAACATGCTAAGAAAATGCTTGAATTATGAAAAGAATACGTTGTGCATAATTAGCAAGGTTGTACATAAATTATTATATATGTACTGCAGTTTATTTTGATTCGTCGCTGAAATCAAAATCGGTATTGAAAGTGAAATGAAATTTGAACAGTAATGGTACTTTTAGGCAGTCACTTTGACTAAAACTAATTTGCATATCCCCCATGCAATAATGTTTTCAGTATTTTCACGGTTGATATGCAAATGAACATGGTATTTCCATTGGCTACCGAAGTATTTCTATTTTGTAAACACATTTTCGTCTGCCATTGTTATCCGATTCAAATCGTTTTTGAACATTTTTGGCATATCAGGTATACATCACATGGAATACTACGATTGGGAGAACTGAATGTATGTTCATTACAGGAAACTGAGTTCTATAAACCTTGAAGGGCTCTCGAAATATCCACCCGCAGTAAAATCAGCGATTACTATGTAGCAGTAAACGTCAACATCGAGATACCAGGAGGTTTCTGCTGGCGACGTTGCGGTGTTACTCAGTTCTAAATAAAGATTATTAACGCCAAATGAGTAACATTTTAACCGGTAACCAAGACTTATTCAATCCACGACCAGCAAGCAACATCACAAATGAAGTTGTAGCGTGCAGCTCAGCGACGACCGCTGTAGACGAAAGTCATACTGTCAGTGGAGTACCGCAGTTGAACGGCATGTTTGCCAAAGCACAATTCTGTGAAGGAACTTTTAAACTGTGTATCATAGTCCAGTTCAAGTTCTGGTTTTGTCGTGGCCCCGACTAAACGTCCACGGGTAATTATTCGGACAGTGATTCAGATTAGACGTATGATTATTTTATTTTAACACAGACAGATGTGGTGTATTCTCGCTTCGCTCGTGAGAGTACGGCCGCAGGATACACCGCATCACTCTTGAAAATAACTTCCATACGAAAACAAAGCCATGGGAAGGATGTGGGGTTCTGACATAGTACAATTTAATTGGTAAATGCAAGGAAAGAATCTACCCGCAACGTTATAAAAAACATAAATAAATGTGCTGTTCATAATTATAACTGGGTAAATTATTATGCAAATTATGTTAATCGTGTTTTCAGTTGATCAGGGAGGTTCAAACTTATACACCCTATAGAATTTCTGTGACATTTGCACATTATGTTGTTGGTGTTTTTATAGACAAAAAAGCACTTTAACAGTGTTTTTAACACAAGCCTGTTCATAAAATTAACTTTTGGGGAGTTATTACCAGAAATTAAAACATTATATAATACACATCTAACGTTCTTTTAAACACAAGTTAACATTTCATAGTATCTGCGGGTGTATGATCAACTGATAAAAACAGGGAGACTAGTACAACTATTAATAGTAAAATGTTTTTTTTGCTTAGTTTTAGAAAATGGCTTTGTAGCATAACGTCTCCTTGTGGTTATAGTGGTAGCGCTCTTGCCGAGATGCGAGTTTGAATCTTATGTTTCATGTGTGCGTGTAATTTCGATTTATATAAATATTGATGCAACACATTACCTGAAATTAAATCCAGGAGCGATTTTCGCGTCTTCTCTATATATACGAAGAAATTTGTATTTGGGTTTGCATTTGTCATGTGATATATCTAAATTACACGTCCAGTCTATAACTATACCAATCGAACCGCCCTAAATGGTATTAGAATAAATGAATGTGACCATAATGCACATGACTTATTAAACTAAGTGAAACCTATAAATTAGAAAAATATAACGCTTGTATGTGAAATGACTACTTTTCAAGCACTGAAAGATATCACGAGATGTGTCCAACAGGGTCATGTATTTCTTCACGTCATATCTATAACCGACCTCTAGATGGCGTGTGGGTTATACTGTATTCCCACAAATATAAATATTATAACTTAGAGTAAACCATAGTGCTCATTGGCTTATTGGAGATGTGCACTTGTTACCGTATATGCAATTTTCTCAAAATCATGGCCAGCATACTCAACAATATCACCAAGTCTGAATATAGGGCACATAGAATAGCTTTCGTCTTCCTCGTTGTACAGGCATTTTTCCAGAAACGTGGAATTATCAGTTTGCAAAATGTTACGCCTACAGGAATATAAACACTATTAGATGTGTACTTGTGAGTGTATGCAATCTAACAACCATGTTTTGACTAGCAATAGCGGATTACTAGAGCCTATATAGACTTTCACACATAATAACACACGAATACTAAGAAAAAATGTTACACAGACACGAATAGGGCTCATCTTAAACTAATACGTGTGTTTCCCCTACCGATGAACTGTTTTATTTTTCCTGGATTTATAATATAATATGTGTTCTTGGACTTGTTTTCGCCTGTCATTATGAACTCATATGGTTATAGCCATATTTGTTGTTAATTTACCTGCTATTGTTCTTTGTATTGGTAAATGGCCTCGTCGGTCAAATACAAAAAATGTGTCATTAATTTTTCAGCGTGTGCACTGCTCATCCAAGTTTAATACTTACTTTCTAAAATCAAACTTAGGAAATGTTATAGCGTTTTTTATCAGTACGGTGAAATTAGCTGCTTCGTACAATACTGCCCTGTCTGTCCTAAACAATGTAACAGAATAAAGAAAGCTAGTTAGAAATAGGATATTGTCTCTGCTACATGTGTTCTTTTCAGTGAAATCTGATTGGCAATACATTGAGTTAAGAAATCCCATATAGGCTTATATTCTCAAACTGTATCATTTCAATACCTCGGTAGTTGGTCCTTTTCAACCGGACACCATGTCCTAACTTCACATGTTTTGTTGCCAGGATACTCCAGGGTGGTGCCAGGGTGGTCTATGCATCTACCAGTACGTGGCCCTGGCAATAACGATCATTATAATTAATCAAGATTACAAATTGAGCACGTATATTTGTGTAAATGATAGTTTGATAACACATGATAAGCAATTACTGCATAAATATATACATGCTGTGGTGAAACATCATTAAGATTACTCACCATGCCCTCTGACAGGTGATGGAATTGAACAATCACTGTCATTCACACATATTGCAGAACTAATGCTGGGGTCCTTAAAAAAGAAATTATTTCATTAATAGTATAATTTCAAATTTGTTTAAATATAACTATCACAAACCTTTCAATGCAGGACATACTTATATATTTATTTGTGTAACAACAATAAGGTGGCAAAACAAAAACTACAGATCATTAACCGAAAGTCAATTAGAGAAAATGAACAACCAAATTATATAAACAATGCATAAACATACATAGGTTGTTGTTCATTGAATGAGATGTAAATCAAATCACTGTAGTATTTTCTGCTTCTTAATATTATATAACATTTACGAATGTACAACAAAAAAGATGTTTTGAGTTCTAATCAAGTAATTACGTAATAAACATTGTTTACACATATGAATAACCCACCAACCCACCTCAGCGCATTCGCCCTGTGTCTGGTCCTCTGTAATTACCATGTTGGTCATCACAAAAAATGAGTTTTGCATCTGATGAAGAGATGAAAATACATGTCTGTTGATTCTGCACACAAACTGCTTGATTTAAATGCAATCCCATATTTTCAATTTTATCATGAACGACTAAGAGATGCTTACAAAGTTAATAAATAATAAAGTATTAAACAAATTCATACAACCAACATTCAATATATATAAACATAAATAAAAAAAGAAACAGAACTGGCTTGCACACCAACGAACATTACAATGAAATGTTCCACATGTATAAGTCCACGAGAAAATCTTAAACAATGTTCCCACATTTTAGCATCTCAATAGTGGCTTAACACACTTATAATTACTATGGGCAAACTAATATCAGGCTCTCACCAATAAGCAACAACGTGCTTTATTATATATCACAACAAAGTGCACAGAACCAGCAACTACAGGGAAGCTATTTTGTATCATAGGGGTGTAAGCTGCCATCACTTGAATGCGTTATAAACAAATTACACTATTTTAGAGAATTCACATATCAAATATTAAATTATTAAAACCTGCATCTGTCAGATACTCAATGTGATTAAAATCTGATGTAGTGTACGGGCTTTAATTATTGTGGCTATGAACTTATTTTAATATTATTTTGTATTACTTTTGTTATTAATGCCCTTTTATTTTATTATTTTACTTTGATTTTGTGATTTTTTTTAATTCTGCCCTACCTACATCTGATCCGACGCCTATGTAAGTCCCGTTCAAATCTCGCATAAGTAACAGCCAATCACAGCCCCCCTTTTATACAGGCTGCCGGTTGCTTACTTTTCAGTGTAGCGATACTCTACGGGCAATCTTTCTGTACATTATATTTTGCCCACTTGAATAAACCATTAATAGAAAATTGCTAGTATATTTTTATTTGCAAAAGAAATTCCACAGCATTTTACAATTTTTGTCATTACATTGAACATATTTTTCACTTCCAACAAATGTGTACACTTCCAGATACATCTTCGCCAACCAAGGTTCGTTCATTCAGTCATCGCTTCAATTTTACATCACTGAGCATAATTATCTAGAATGGAAGCAAAAACAATAAGTAAATCGTAATGATTAGAACACTGTAAACAGCTATAGTAAACAATGCAAACTGATTTTAAATTGTATAACTGTCACCGGCCCACGGCATCGACGCAGAAAATTGGAGCAAAAAAATATTTCCTGATCAATTGCGATGTGTTCCAATAAACAATATTTTATTCCAGTCCAAATCAGCTCAATTACTTTAATAAAGAGTTATTGTATAATGTACAAAATGATGATACAATTTGATGAATATTTACAGCTACGGTTTCAATACCGTAGACGATGTTGGCCCGATCTTCAACAAAACCTCACCCGTCTCCAGGGGCAGGCGACTGGAAAAAGACACTGGCGGAAACAAAATCGTCACTCCCAGAATAACTATGCAAAATAACGATCTAAAGTCGAACCATTCGAGCCACAATATTAACATAAAAATGACTTTCATTGCATTTGACACTGATAAACTTACCGAAAAGCCGTGTTATTCTCGGTCGCTAACTGTAAAGTCTACTTGACTTTGTATTCAAAAGAATAAAGATTGTACACAAGGATGACCTCGAGCAATGCCCGACAGTAGTAATCTTTAATGCCCACGCATGCGTAATGGAACATACCATTACATAAGGAGGAGCCGTAGCTCTTGCAATACAAGGGGCAATGTATACGAGACACTAACGTTACACCTTTCCTTTTTTCAAGTGTTTGGTCTTAATAGACAAACAAAGTGTTCAGTAAAGAGTTCAAATAGTGTTCATCAATAAATGCGAATATGAACGAATAAACTTATATTAA